AACATGTATGTTAGACCCTATTCCATCTAAGCTCCTAAAAGAAGTGCTTCCAGAAGTCATAGATCCTCTTCTGACTTTTATTAATTCATCATTGTCATTAGGATATGTCCCCAAAACCTTCAAATTGGCTGTTATTAAGCCTCTCATTAAAAAACCACAACTTGACCCCAAAGATCTAGTTAATTACAGACCTCGAATCTCCCTTTTCTGTCAAAGATACTAGAAAAGGTAGTATACTCACAATTATATTCCTTCTTAAAGAAAAATGGTATCTGTGAGGACCTGCTCTTATTATCTGTCATATCGGCTGGAGGGACCGGCTCTATCGCATCCTTCGCCAGTAAGACTGCGATCTCCGCACGTAAGACAGGAGTATCGGCTGCCTTCACTGTCGTGAAGCAGATGCCACTGAACTTGGGGGGATGCCGGGTGAACTGAATCGCACAGCCGAGGCTGATGGTCCGCAGAAGCCAACGAGTCAGGTTGGGTAGCGCTAGCAAGGCACCCAGAGACCAGCGGAACCACCGCCGTACCCGCAGTGGGGCAGCCAGGTGGAATGCAGGGACCCAACTCGGGCGGCTTGTGAGCAGACCGAAGAGGGGTCTGAGTGTGCGGTGCAATGCTTACCTGGTTCCACAGTTTGGCAGAGGGTGCGTGAGTAGGGCCTTCGTTGACTCTCTCGAACCGCCCGCTACTGCCAGCTGGCGAAGGAGGAGGATGAGCGTGGTCCAGTGTTGGTCCGTCCACGACTCTTCGTACCCTCCCGGGACCCAGGGACAGAGAAAACCGCTCTCTCGTCGAGATTTTCCAGATTCTCCACCCGGTCCTCCTCCGGGGAAGTGACCGCCATCAGTTCGTAGCAGTGAATGAAGAGGTATCATATCGTTCACAAGAGCAGTATGGAGTACCTCAAGGCTCAGTACTAGAACCGTTGCTTTTCACGCTTTACATGTTACCCTTGGGAGATATCATCAGGAAACATGGAGTTAGCTTTCACTGTTATGTTGATGACACTCAGCTCTATATTTCTTTGCGGCCCGGCAAAACATACCAATTTGAAAAACTAACGGAATGCATAGTCGATATTAAAAACTGGATGACGAGTAATTTCTTACTGGTAAATTCTGAAAAAACAGGTGTTAATTATCTGACCTAAAACCTCCACATGTAATAACCTAGAACACTGTCTTACGCTTTATGACTGCTCTGTCAATTCTTCATCATCAGTTAGGAACTTAGGTGTGCTATTTGATAGCAATCTTTCCTTCGAAAGCCACATTTCTAGCATTTGTAAAACTGCATTTTTCCATCTCAAAAATATATCCAAATTGCGACCTATACTCTCTATGTCAAATTCAGAAACGTTAATTCATGCGTTCATGACCTCAAGGTTAGATTATTGTAATGCTTTATTGGGTGGTTGTTCTGCACGCTTAATAAACAAACTCCAGCTGGTCCAAAATGCAGCAGCTAGAGTTCTTACTAGAACCAGGAATTATGACCATATTAGCCCGGTTCTGTCAACACTGCACTGGCTCCCTATTAAACATTGCATAGATTTTAAAATCCTGTTAATTACCTATAAAGCCCTGAATGGTTTAGCACCTCAGTACTTGAGCAAGCTCTTATCGTATTATAGTCCTCCACGTCCGCTGCGCTCTCAAAACTCTGGCAATTTGATAAGACCTAGAATATCAAAATCAACTGTGGGCGGCATATCCTTTTCCTATTTCTCACCCAAACTCTGGAATAATCTACCTAACACTGTTCGGGAGGCAGACACACGTTGTCAGTTTAAATCTAGATTAAAGACCCATCTCTTTAATCTGGTTTACACATAACACACTTACACATTTCTATTACTCAAATCCATTAAAGGATTGTTAGGCTGCATTAATTAGGTCACCGTAGCCACCAGATCCAGTCCATATCCAGCCCAGATGGTGGATCAGCTCCTAGAGATGACCTCTACAGCCCTGAATTTCAGCGGAGACCAGGACAACTAGATGAGCCCCAGAGACGGATCTCCAGTGAATACCTTGTCTCCTAGACGGCCATCGGGACAAGACCACGGAACCAGATGAGCCCTCTGCACAATTTAACTTTGCTGCAGCATGGATCAACCTGCTAGTTCATCTGGCCAGAGGAGAACTGGCCCCCCAACTGAGCCTGGTTTCTCCCAAGGTTTTTTCTCCATTCTGTCACCGATGGAGTTTTGGTTCCTTGCCACTGTCGCCTCTGGCTTGCTTAGTTGAGGACACTTCATTTTCAGCGATATCGTCGGCTTGATTGCACAGATAATATTTAAACTGAACTGAGCAGGACGATGACATCACTGAATTCAGTGATGAACTGCCTTAGGTCGCAAGACCGTGACAATGGTCGTCTTTGAACCTCTCTCACGGTATGACACAACCCGATTAGGGGCCACGATGACAATCGCCGTGATTGTTTCAAGATGCCAATCTTTCGTCTGGGACAGCTGAAAACCATGTGTTTCGGGCTTAATGCTTTGTTTACCACTAGCGCATGCTGATAATGTTTTATTCTTCTATAGTAACGTGCATCATAGCCAACGAGTCAATAGGTGTCAACATCATGCAGTCTACATGCACGTCGAAGGCTATCCATGTTTATTAGATCCATGTCGCACAGTGTGATATGCAATGATCTTATAGGATTGCTAAACTCGTGCAGTGTGTCTCGGGCTTAAAAGAGTCAAATCCTTGTATCAAAGCTAACTCTGTTAATCAATTCTAGTGTCTGATTCTTTTTGTCTAATTGATATTTCATGCTAAATGATTGACTCAAACTGTTGAATTAGCATTCTAGGAACCTGTTTACACCCGAAAACGAGCATCATATGTCCTACTGAAGGGCAGAGCACTCTAAGTCAGGACTGGTGCTGGGTATTACATATCATTTGTGACCATATGGAACACCCTACATTAAGGCACAGCACACCTGTATGTCACTGCCACATTTTTTTTCATCAGAATGTTATCTTGGTAGTAACATCAAAGTTCATACTATTTAAGGAAATTACGCAGTGAAGACATGTCACAGCAAAACATATTTAAGGTTTAAATTGGTTAAATTAGGAACTTAACAAAACAAAAACAAAAACAAAAACAACAAAAAAAAAAATATATATATATATATATATATATATATATAATATTAGTAAAGTGAGTCTGGAGAATGCACCACTCAGGATCACAAATGGTTCAGAAATGACAAAATAGCGGTGTGTTCACGCCATGTTGGAATTGTCAGAATTACAGGATGAAAGTTGGAGGTTTCATAAAGTTTAGTTTACATGTTATAAACAGTTATGTGATGATGTGAATGCTTTTATTAATTTGGAGTTCTGTGAGGACGTTAAGAATGATATAAAAGACAAGAACACATCAATGCTTCTTGTGTCCATTGGATGTCTGCTTTGTTAACTCCCTTGAAATTATTAGTTCAATCAAAAATGAAAATTGTGTCATCGTTTACTTACCTTCATGTTGTTCTAAACCAATAATACATTCGCTCGTCTTTGATGAGGATATTTTTAACGAAACCTGAGAGATTTCTGTCCTCTCATTGCAAGTGCATTCAGATAAAACTTTAACTTTAAGAAAAAAAAATCATAAAGACATTGTAAAATAAATCCATATGAATCAAGGAGTTTCATACAAGTTGTCTGTAGAGACATGGTCACATTTTAATTTAGTATAACCATAATAAATATGGTTATATAACGAAAGTAATGGAAGCTCAAACGTGCTTGCTTGACCAACTTAACATTCCTTTAAATTAAGGCTGTCAAACGATTAATCACGATTAATCACATCCAAAATAAAAGTTTTTGTTTACTTAATATACACGTGTGTACTGTGTATATTTATTATGTATATATAAATACACACACATACAGTATATATTTTGAAAATATTTACATGTATTTACATGCATATATATATATTCATATAATTTATATTATATATAAATATTTAATATAAAAACATAAAAATTCTTAAATATACACATGCATGCGTGTGTATTTATATATATATATAATAAATATACACAGTACACACATATATTATGCACACAAAAACTTTTATTTTGGATGCGCTTAATCGCGATTAATCTTTTGACAGCACTACTTTAAATTGTAACAAACAAGATTTAACATTTGGACCTTTTCTGCCGAAGAAAAACAACTGAATAAATTATTTTCATTTTCTCTCTTTTTTCTCAAATCATCACATTAACTAATTTGTAAAAGCTTATTATTCATGTTACTATAACAAAAATGAAACAAACAAACAAACTTTTTTTTTTCCTTTAATCTATTTTTGTAGTTTATTAAACTACAAACCAACAAAGGTCCCAAGCTAGCAATGCCTAGGGAGCATCTTTAACTGTTTTTTTTTTTTTTCTTTTGAAATATACTTTTCAAATTTGGTCTATTCAATTGTATTTAATTGTTATTGCTTCAAAATCATTAAATCATACAAATCAGGGTATAAACTCTATTTACGCATAACTCAAATTTGGTAACAGGTTTGCAAAAACTTTACAGAAAATGAACAGAGAATAAAGCGGCTAGTAATTAGTTCATCTTCCTGATGTTGACTATGAATATTTAAGGTCCTTGTTTCAATGACCATTTGAAGAAAAGAAGAAAAGGCAGATATTTTCTTTTTTAAATTACTATATTAATGTACTATATATATATATCCACCTGTGTAGTTATGTTAACTTACCGACTTGTCCTTGGATATTTTCTTGAAGACGATATGTTTTGGGCTCATAGTTGTTTAGAAACTTGAACACAATAATAAAAAAGTAAAAGATGAATGCTTAAATAATGTAATACCATTTTGTAATATAAACCTAACTTCAACAATCATTGCATGTTAATCACTGGCTTTTATTACATAAAAAGTCCTTCAAGCTATACTTTACAATAATGTTCTTCATATATCATCTAGTAAACCTGCAGTCTTAATCAAGACTTTCCAATATACATAACGGTGACATAAAATCTAAATCACTCATTGTTATACCCTATGTCCCAAATAACACCCACCAGTGGGTCCTTTAAATTCTACACCCATTATGAATTTCATACCTGATAGTGATGATTTCGAATAATATGTGAGGTCTGAAGCTTGAGGATAGAAAGAGCAGTGGGGAGGAGCTGGTATTTGTACCCAGGATGTGTATTGCCCAACTAATCAGGTTAGCAGGGTTATAGCTAAAATCCCCTTCACCCATTCTCCAGATTTCCCAAATAGACAGATGGATACAAACAGATACCTAGCCATGCTTAATGCAGGTGCTATACCTGCCTGAGCGGATTGGGTTGGTTCCCTTGGTCAGCACTGGGGGAGATTACTAGGCACTGACACTTTGGACACGAGGAGCAACACTTTTGTCAGGATCAAGTCACGTGCTGAAAACTGAGGTCTATTTAGAGGGGCTTGTGAATAAACAAGTCATGTTTCATTTATCTAATCCAGATAAATTGAGACAATGGTTGAGATTTACAGGGTGAGAAATTTCAGCATATGTAGCAAAATCAGAGTCAAAAATATAATTATAATTGAGTTTATAAAACAATTGCATTTGTACATTTGTAACTGGAGTACTAATAAATAATCAGCATAATCAATCAAATAAACAATAAAATTAAAAGTCTTAGTAACAGTATAATATACAGTACTTACATACAATTGGGCAGGAATGTTTATCATTAAAAAGAGATTTAATAAAAAGGAGAAGATTCTCAGGCATATTAATCATTGATAGTGCTTCAGTTATAATCCCAGACTGTCAGTGTCAGCAGTGTAAAACCCAAGGAAGCTGAGGAGGGATTATCGCCATGAAAGACATGAAGTAATTGTTATCTCATTCGGGATTATTTCCAGCCATAGTTATTGTGCACGTACGCTCATGAAACCAAGTGCAGACTGAAGCAAACAATCTGAGTATGCACATATAAACTATAAATGTGTTTGAATGTTCATTATAGCATGCAGTTTACAAAAAAGTGACTTCCTTTAACATTAAATATTTCTCATGCTAATTTAGTTCTGAGCATTAAAAGATTTAAAAATCCCTGATCCCACTTTGTGGTCCTTTGATATCATTTTTACTTCCATTTGATGTTTTTATTTATTTATTAATTTGTTTGTTTTTATTTTTATTTTTTGCCACAGAATATGTAATATTTGATTGTTTTACATGTTTCCCCCCTCACCTTAAAACGACAACGACTAAGTGATGGACAGCTGAAGATAGGAAAGGAAAGGAAATGTATGGTGTCCCATACTCGGAATTTGTGCTCTGCATTTCACTCATCCAAGTGCACACACACAGCAGTGAGTAGAGAAGCGCGCACACACACACACACACACACACACACACACACGGAGCAGTGGACAGCCATTTTTTGCTGTGGCACCATGGGGAGCAGTTGTGGGTTCGGTGCCTTGCTCAAGGGTCTCACCACAGTTGTTGTACTGCAGGTGGAAGAGAGCGCAGTACATTTACCCTCCCACCTACAGTCCCTGCTGGTACCAAGATTGGAACCCGCAACCTTTGGGTTACAGTTGAGCTTTGTTGAACTGCACAGCCAATCATGTCGAAGCGATATGACATTTGGGCCAATCACAATATTGTTGACCCAAATATTTTCATAAATAACACATTACTCAGATTCTAACTATTATTTGTTTTTATTTCTCAGACCTTCCCTTGTCAATAATGTTAAATAAACAATTGATTAAATAAAATATATAAAACATTGCTATTTATCATTTCTTTATATATTTAATGCACTGTAAATGGAGCATGTCTGGAACCTCCTTTTTTGTTTCTTCAGGGATGTTAATCATCTCCACAACTTTTCAATTTATGGATGAAAAAGCAAACAATGTGCCAATCAGATAGTACTTGTAGGCTGAAAATAGCCTAACATTTTGTGTCAGGATTTGGAACATACTGTATAAATTGGTACTCAAAACTGCTAAATATGCATGAGCAATGAATTATTATGTTCATCTGTTATAATTCTCAACATTCTATTGTATACCCACCTATTTCCACTTAAACAATTTATATTGTAATCAATGTAATTGTAAAGTTTATAAAGTTTAGTGTGAAGTTTATTGCCATAAAAGGCAGTTTTTACATGGTTAGGAAAAAAATAATGGCTAAAAAAGAGAACAATAATAATTATAATTCCTTACATTTATATAGTGCTTTTCTGGGCACTCAAAGCGCTTTACATAGAAGGGGGGAATCTCCTCAACCACCGCCAGTGTGCAGCAGGGCCGGACTGGGACGCAATTTCAGGCCGGGAAATCTCACACATACAGGCCACACATAAAAAAAGGGGCCACAATTGTACCTTTTAGGGTACAACAGCTTGTCACTGGAGCAGTACTCTTAAAAGGACATCTTTCTACCTTTTTTACCCCTAATAGGTACATATTAGTACCTTAGAGTAGTAATTCATACCCCTAAGTAGGGCTGCACGATAAATCACATGCGATATTTAATGTGCATCTTGTCAGTAAAGCCGGTTCTGTAATCAGCGGTAAATCTCCATCACGTGCGTGCTTTCACATGGAGCAGCATTTACTACACAGAGCCGTTGTTCACTGACAAGCTGCGCAAAACCATGTTCATCGTGTCCACGTTCAACTGTGTCCACCTTGTTGAAAACAACCACCTAATTTAAATTTGTTAGCACAGAATGTTATTTATCTTAAAATGACTTAAATACCCAAGATGGAACAAACCTATTTTTAATACATATATATTTTAAAAAAAAAATTGTGTTTAAGTGCCTATTTATAAAAATTAGTGCAATACCTTCATTGAAAAATCCTAATAGCCTACTGAACACACTATTGAATTGACTCATATTTTTGTTTTGCTGTCTGCTCTCCCTCCTTACCTAAACTATAAATCCATGCGAATATCTGTCTGCTAAATGTATTAATGTAACTTTACAGTATGATGTCCTTTAGCATAAAGTATTCTGACATGATAATAATGGGGTGCTCCTGATAGCCTAACAGTTGCTAGCAGTTTAATACTCAGCTAAGTTAGCAGACAAAACTATAGTGACTAAGGGATTATATTTGGGGATCCGTGGCATTAATTGTTGGACAGCGTGTTCTCTCTCTAACACACAAAGACTTTATCAATAAAATAGTTGGGAAAGCCGGTCATATGCGAGTAATTCATATTCACGCGCTCTCTTCTGCTCTCTCT